CACCTGGTGGTCGGCAAACACGACCAGGTAACCTGCTCGACGAGTTCTGCGGAGGCACGCGAACGTCGTTGAGGTCGAAGTGACGAAGGGGACTTCAGGTTGGTATCCCGAATTCGATGTGGCTCGACAGGTGCAGACAACAGCCGACGGATGCACAACGGTGAGCGTGCGAGCGTGCGCACCTGCGCACCTGCGAGCGCACCTATGAGCGTGCGCACTGCTGCCATCTATAGGTGCAACGCTGGACAGCCGCACTGCTGCAGCGTTGGCACGCTGTCGACCTGGAGTGAAGGTCACCTTTCTGCAGTGCTGGCGCGGCTCCTCTACGCAACACTGGCAGGCAGTCGACCAAGCTGTGCTGGCGGTCGACCAGGCTAGTTGCAGAGTTGCTAGGTGCCTGATGTAGTCATTTTCTGTCATTTCTTGTTCAATTATTCATTTATGCAATCTTTGCCTAGTGGTAAAGGACTAGCAAGTGTTAGGGGACTACGCACTCTTGCCAATTTTTCCCGTGAATGTGCAAGTGATAAGGGACTGCGCAAAGCTACGATCACTCCTAGAAGTTCATGCCAACACCTCGTAGTCTAGCTCACGACTGTTGTAGAGTGACTCTCCGCATGGTGCGGTGAGCGTGGACGGACCCGCAAATTACCTTCAGAAAGGAGCCGACTTTTGCACCTACTAGTCGTGGTAGGCCGGCGCCGTTCTAGTCACCATGGTCGACCTTGTAGCTAATACGGACGTAGCGGACACCTTGGAGGCACGTTAGGCTAATGCGAAGAAACGCCATGAGGATCGCGAGTACGGGTCGATCCCCTGGGCGATCGCTGAGTTGGGCATCCGGGCGTTGTGGGCGAAGGAGCACCCTTCCCGTCCTGCTTCTCCTCGACCGGTGTGAGACGAAGATGGCGTCAATGACGAGGTTGATGGCGGTGCACGAGTTAGCGACAACGATGGCACGGAGCAGAGATGGGTGATCAAGGTCGATGGTGGCGTTGACAGGAGTCAGTCGCGAGTGCAGCGCTCGACGACGGCTGCAGGCAGCTCGCGTGCCGTCGTCGATGGTCGATGTTGCTCTCCTCTACGAAGCGGTGGAGGGTATTCGGTGATGACACACGTGACGGCAGGCGGGATAGCACCGGCGTATGGCTAGTTCAAGTTTTTGCCGGACCGGATCACCGTCACACCTCTGCAGGGTCGACGGGACCTCATCACCTAGAGGGAGTCAATAAAACCTCAGCTGGAGGTCACCAAGATGAAGGGCTTCGCCGACGGCACCGTGCCAATTCCGCTGAGGAAGATGTCCAGCTGCGCGGGGAGTTTCGTGCTGCTCACTTGCTCACCTTCATGGTCATCTCGAGGTGCTGCTCGCCGGTGGTGCAGCTCGCGCTCAGGTCCTGTCGAGAGCGACTGGACGCTGGTCATCAAGCATGGCACTTCATCCTGTTGACGTACCAGGTGAAGGACGACCTGCATCGGACAGCTGGAGGAGCAGATGACACACATTCGGATGAGCGAGCAGGAGTCGGCGACGGACTACTGCAACCGCTTAACGGATCATGGCTGAGATGCGGATGGCGGGCGCCGAATACTCTACGGCGTCCTACATCACCTGCGTCGTCAAGGGCCTGCTGTGCAGCTACAGTTTCATGAAGAGGATGATAATGGTGCCTGGACGAGGACTCCATCACCATCTACATCCTTCAAGACGAGGCTATGCAGGAGGCAGAGCAGCCCACGGAGCTCCTTCTGCAGGCGAGTTACGCTGCACCAACGAAGCTGAATCGTCAGCAGGAGCAGCGTGGGAAGCCGGGCGGAGGTGGTAGCGAAGATGGGCGGTCGACGAAGGACGTCGACGAGAAGAGGTCGACACGGGACAACGGCCGAGGAGGTGGTGGTCGACAGCGGGAGTGCTGGATTCGCCACGACCCTGACCATCTTTCCTATGAGTGCCCCGACCGCGACGATAGCGACGCGGACGAAAACATTGGAGGCCGTGGTCGATCGGCCAGTCGTCGCCCCCATCGAGATGAGAAGCCGCGCAAGGAGAAGCAGACGTCGAAGAATACGTCGTCGACGAAGGACGTCGACAACTCCAGTGGCAAGGGCCGAGGTGACGGGGAGGCGTCGTGCTCGATGGTTGGCGTGGTGGAGCTGATGGTCTCGCTGGCGCCAAAAGCTGGCGAAGACTTCCAGGCGGTGGCGGCAGCTGTGCAGGCAAACCCGATGGCGGTGCTGCTCGACAGTGGTTGCTCCCACCACCTGATGGGGACGAAGACGGTCTTCGTCGACATGGCGCCAAGCGACAGTGTGAAGCACGTGCGCGACTTCAATGGGGCGTTGCAGCCTGTCGAGTGTCGCGGAACCGTCGCTCTACAATGGGAGGCAAGAAAGCGGGTCCTTATCCCCGACGTGCTCTACATTCTGGGAGTACATGCGAACCTGCTGTCAGCTGGCCAACTGAAGGAGAGCGGAGTGCAGCTGCAAGGCGACGGCGACGAGATGCTACTCGCCGCCGCAACCGGGGAGGTGCTCGGTCGAGCACGTTACACCGGACGAGTCCTCTGCACCGACATTTGCCCCTGCTCGACGCGGTTGCCGTCGACCGAGGTGGTGGCTCTGCGGACGATCGTCTCGACGACAAAGTCGACCCCTGATCGATGGCATGCGAGGCTTGCGCACGTCGGTGTCGACACGATCAAGAGCTTGGCGAAGCATGAAGTTGCTACTGGGCTCGACATCAAGCCGTCGACCGGAGCAGACCCGCCGTGTGTCTCGTGCGTCGGAGAATAGCTGGCGTGGCACACCTTACCTGACAAGGGCTCGGACGCCTAGGAAGCACTGGCTGTCGTGCACATTGATTTGTGCGGGCCATTTCGAGTGGCTGCCAAGGATGGCAGCTTGTACTTTCTGCTGCTGAAAGATCGCCACACTCGGTTCGTGTGGGAAATGCTGGTCGCTAAGAAGAGCGATGTGCTGCGGGAGTTCCAGAGGTGGCTGGTGCTGTTAGAACGGCAGACGAAGAAGTCGGTGATGTCGCTCCGCTCAGACCGGGGAGAAGAGTTCCTCGGAAGGGATTTCACCAACTTCGCCGACGGGAAGGGCATCGTCCACGACCTGATGTGCCCATACACTCCGCAGCAGAACGGCATGGCTGAGCGAGAGATGTGCACGGTTTTCGAGTCTGTGCGGACGATGCTGCTGCACATGGGCGTGCCGCACCATTGGTGGCACCTCGCTCTACCAAGCTGTATGGGTGCGCAACTGCTTGGAGCGGTCGACGGGGACAACGCCGTACCAGCTGCTGACCGGGAAGAAGCCCGACCTCACGCTGGCGCGGGTGTGGGGCTACATGGTGCAGTTTATGGTTCCCGAACAGCAGCACGGTGGGAAGCTGGCGCCAAAGGCTCGCTGGGGGCTTCACCAGGGTGTGTCGCTGGAGAGCAAGGGCTGGAAGGTGCTGGACTTGACCAACAACAAGGTGGTCATGTTGGTCGAGGTGATCTTCTACGAGACGTTGCCGCTGGAGGTGTGGAAGGCGAAGTATGGGCCGTCGTCGGGGCGGACGCAGGCACACCCGCCGACGGACACCTCGACGCCAACGGTCCCGCTGCTCGCCGAGGTCGACGAGCATTGTGATGAGGATGTCGTGGAAGTTCTTCCTCCTCCCCTTGTTTTTGCTCCTCCCGCCCCCGTCGCAGATTGGCCTGCGTCGACACATGTGTCGGCCACCAGCAATGAGGGGAGCCTTGAGGCGTGCCTGTGCCGCCATGCTCGTCGACAAGGACGTGAAGCGGTCGACGACAGGGGAGCAGCAGACAGGGGAGCCGGTCGAACAGGATTCAGCAGTAGAAGTGCAGTCGATGTCAACGGGAGTTGGGTGTGGCCCCATGCTCGCTTGGGTGTGAGCAGCCGACCTGACGCAGTGGGCGAGCTGGTCGACGAGGGTGGTCGACCTGCGCGGGGGCCACTACACTGGCGCCGACTTCTGGGCGCCGACTTTGGTATGGTCGACCTGGTAGTCGACCTGACTTGGTGGTCGACGGAGGGGGGCGCCGACGTCGACCTCGACAGGGAAGTCTGGGGACGCCGAGCAGCTGGGCGTCGAACAGCTGGGCGACGAGTAGCAAGGCGCCGGGTTGAGGGCGCCGAACTTGGGGACGGCGGGCTTGTGCAGTCGGCGACTGGCGAGGCTGGTCGACCAGGAGTGGTTGCCCGGTCGACCGGGATGCGAGGCCGACCTCGGAGGTGGTATCTCGAGGTCGACTTGGCTGGTGGACGCAGTTGCTGGCGTGGAGTCTGCTAGGCGTCTCTGCTGTGCTCGTGACAAGGCGTGGAGCACCAACCAACTGCATGCAACTGCGAAGCTGTTGCACCGTTGTCCTGCGGGTGCAACGCTGTGCAGCCGACTTACTGCAGCGTTGGCAAGCTGCGACTTTGCTCTGCTGGAGCGCGGTCGACCAAGTCGTGCTAGCACAGGGTCGTTCGTGCTGCACCGGAAGTCGACCAGTAGCTTTGCTAGCTCTGATGTAGTCTTGCATGCCAATGTTGTTACTACCATTGTTCTCAACTTTTGCTAGTGAAACTCTTGCGGTTTTGCCCCGTGAATGCACAAGTGCTTGAGAACGACTAAGGATCGAACGAGCGCAGAGATCACACGAGCGCCCGTGCCTAGCCCGTAGTCTAGCTCCCGTTGCTGAAGTTATCTTCGCAGTCGACAGGGGAGCAGCAGACGGGGCAGTCGACAGGGGAGCAGTCGAAGTCAGCAGGAGGGGAGCAGCCGGTCGAAGGGTCGAATCAGCCTGACATCGACGAGGATGTCGATGACGAAGGGGAGCAGTCGGTAGAAGAAGAGTCCACCGACAGCGATGTGGTTGAGGTTCCGCTCGAGAAGCCTGAGTTGCGATGCATAGGTCGAACTCGGAAGCCGTCGAAGCGGCTGGTCTTCCACGCCTGCCTGCCACCAGCTGCCCTCACCACGGTGTACGACAACGCCGATGATGACCTGCTGTACGACGACGCCGAAGATAGACGTCGATCTGCTGGAGCTCGACCCCGATGTGCATGCTGACCCTGAACACCGCTGGGACATCGCCACGATGACGGTGAAGGAGGCGCGGGTGAGCTAGAAGGGCGAGGCGGTGAAGGCCGCCATGGACGAGGAGATTCGCAGCCTCATTGGCATGGGCACTTGGGAGCTGGTCGAACGCCCACGCGGGGTGAACATCATGAAGATTCGATGGGTGCTGACGACCACATACCGCATCGACGACACCGTCGAGCGCGAGAAGGCAAGGCTGGTCGTGAAGGGCTTCATACAGGTGTACGGTGCCGACTAGGACAAGACGTACTCGCCGGTGAGCAGCTACGTCACGCTGAGGATCTTCCTCAGCATCGTCGCCGTCCTCGACCTCAACCTGATGCAGCTCGACATGAAGAACGCTTTCCTGCAGAGAAAGCTCGACCGGGTGCTGTACATGTACCAGCCGGACTACTTCGACGATGGGACCGGCCGGGTGTGTAAGCTGCTGAAGAGCCTCTACGGGCTGAAGCAGTCGCCGCTGCTGTGGTACAGGGCTCTCGAAAGTGTGCTGCTGGGCGCGGGCGGGAAGAAGAGCCAGGTCGACATGGCGCTCTACTTCAAGGCCGGCAACGACGGAGTGACCTGCTGGGTACTGGTCTACGTTGACGACCTGCTCGCCGCCAGAAGCAGCACCGTGATGTTGAAGGAGCTGAAGGAGCTGCTGGAGGCCGCCTTCGAGCTGCGCGAGATCTCGCCTGTCGTGAAGTACCTCAGGCTGGAGATCGTGCGTGACTGGCTAGCGAGGAAGCTGTGGCTACATCAGCAGAACTCCGCCGACAAGCTGCGTAGGCGCTTCATCGACGAGGAGCAAGGCGGGCGCATTCCGAAGATGCTGGTCTTGGATGACGCCGGTCTTGGATGACGCCTACGCCGAGCTAACATTCGACGACGAGGAGGCGTAGGAGCGCGAGAAGGAGGAGTGCCGACAGAAGGTTGGCTCGCTGCAGTTCGCGGCGACAACGTCGAGGCCGGACATCGCGTTCGCCTGCACCAAGCTGGGGAGCGGCCTCACGGTGAGGAGCGACCAGCGCTGGGGCGAGGTCGACCGCTGCCTCGCCTACCTCGCCGACACCCGCGACACCGCCCTGGAGTTCGGCAGTGGACCAGATTCGCTGGAGTTGATCGGCTACGTGGATGCCAACGACGCGGGCAACAAGCAGAACCGGACGAGCACGAGAGGCTACATGTTCATCAAGTACGCATCGCTCTCCTCGACCGAGTCAGAGTACGTCGCGGCCACGGACGCCGGCAAGGAGGGGCGTCGACTTCGCTTCCTCCTTACAGAATTCAAGCTGCTCGACGCTGGGAAGCCGACCACCCTCCGCGTGGACAACAAGTCGGCCATCACGCTCACTGAGGGCTTGGGGCTGACGGGTAACCTCAAGCACATGGAGCGACGGTGAGCGCGGGTAGTTCGTGTTGAAGTACATCCCGACCCCCGAGACAACGGCAGACTTTCTGACAAAGGCTTTGCATTTTCCAGCTTTCAACTGGTGCTCTGTCGCCATCAGCCAAGTGCGTCTGGCCGACATCGGCGACAGTGACGACGAGGTGCAGCAGTAGGTGCCGTGCCCTTCTCCATAGCTTGTGCGGTGACGGCGTGCTGTGTGTGAGGTGCACGCCGAGGACAAGTTTTCTTCGTGGAGTACTGCCGTGTGGGCTGGGGGCCCAAGCGCCAGCACGACAGGGAGTTTTAACGGGAGTGGAGTGTTGGCCCCACCCACGCTTGGGCAACGCCGAAGACTCGGTCAGATGTACGGGAGAAGCAGCCAACCGTTCACATTGAGGGAGCTGCTCGACGGGCTTCGTCGAGCTGCAGGTGCTCAACGGTTGCAGCTGACTAGGCTGGTCGACGGGTGGGCCGTCGACTAGGAGGAGCAGTTCGACGGGGAGGGCGACGGAGCAGTCCGTCGACAATGTGAGCAGCAGTCGACGAAGGGAGCTCGGCGACAGCAGCTGACAATTCTGGTCGACGGAGGGGCCCGTCGACCAGGGTGTTGCTCGACGGGAGCTGTGGTCGATCAGAGGCACTTGGTGGTCGACCAGAGCACCTGGTGGTCGAGCAAAGCACCTAGTGGTCGACCAGGTCGACCAGGTAACGTGCTCGACGAGTCCTGCGGAGGCACGCGAACGTCGTCGAGGTCGCAGTGACGAAGGCGACTTCGGGCTGGTATCCCGAAGTCGATGTGGCTCGTCAGGCGCGGACAACAGCCGACGGATGCACAACGGTGCAAGTCGGGCCAATCGTCTGCGCGCACCTGCGAGCGTGCGCACTGTTGCTGCAGCGTTGGCACGCTGTCGGCTTGCAGTGTTGGCAGGTCGCCTTTCTGCTGTGTTGGCGCGGCTCCTCTGTGCAACGCTGGCAGGCAGTCGACCAAGCTGTGCTGGCGGTCGACCAGGCTAGCTGCAGAGTTGCTCCGTGCCTGATGTAGTCATTTTTCTGTATTTCCTTGTTCAATTATTATGTTATGCAATCTTTGCCTAGTGGAAACTATTGCCAATTTCTCCCGTGAATGTGCAAGTGCTAAGGGACTACGCAAAGCTACGATCACTCCTAGAAGTTCAAGCCAACACCCCGTAGTCTAGCTCACGACTGTTGTACAGTGACTCTCTGCAGAGCCCGTCGAGGAGCTCTGGTCGAAGAGCCCCGTCGAAGAGCTCCGGTCGAAGAGTTACGTTTAACGAACTCTACGCAACGAGTTCAGGTTGACGAGCTCTGCTCCCTGAACGCTGTTCAACCGAGCAGGGTCGAGCTGTTTGACTGAACTCACAGAGGTGTGCGGAACTCTGCGGAGGTGTGCAAAACTTCGCCCAGGAGGTTTTGGCGAAGTTCGACCTGAGGAACGGCAGCACGTGGTCGACGGTGCGAACCTATTGAAACCAACGACAATATTTCTACCTTGACCTGTGCAATGTGCCTGACGGTGAAACCGTCAACCTGCACCTACTTGGTAGGTGGGCACATCAGCGCAGATAGACAACATGCGGCTGCAGTGCTTGCAGCGTTGGCAAGCCGCTTTTCTGCTGCGCTGGCAGATTTCGCCCTTGCTAGGTGTTGCGTGCCATTCTAGTCATATCTTTCTGCATGCGTCAATTGTACTCTGATTTTTTCAATGTTCAATTTTCTTTCAACTTCCTTAGTGTAAACTCTTGCAAAACTTCTCTGTGAACACAAGCAAGAAGTAAGAACGCTTCTAGAGCGTTACGATCACTCGCACAACCCCGTGCCTTCCTCCGTAGTCCACTCCCGTTCTGTAGTGACTCTCCGCACTAGTAAGATGAAAAACGCATGTGCTTGTCGTTTCACCTGTAGATGCTGACTCGGCAAGGGTGCGTGCTTGTCAATGAACGTTTCTCCAGGGCTCGTTGTCTTTGCTATTTGATTCTCATTGCTTGTACCATAATCTTGTTTAGTCGTGAAGCTATGCTTGAATTCTACCAAGCCAACCAAGCATTCTACCAAGAATCACTACCAGAGCTCTGTCCATGCGTACCACACTAACCAGCTTTCACGTGGAATAGCATTCTCCGCATTCTCCGCTAATCAGCTTTCATGTGAGGAGGAGGATGGACTGTGAGAGGAGTGGAGATAGGAGGCGACAGGTGAAGTCGCAGACACACGGGCAACAGGAGCGGCGAGCACGGGCTATCGGACACAAGCAAGGGTATCCAGACTACTGGACTCACTCGCTCCGCGGCTAAGACGAGCGGCTGGAGCAACGGACCCACGGGCGACTGGCGCAGCAGGCTCGCTAGGCTACCGGAGCAAGGGCGACCCCCGGACTACTGGCGATGTTGACGTCACGACGGCTACCTCCGCTCAACCTTCCCCAACTGTCCCACACCCCTTTCACATACCCCTTGCTGCACCCCTAGCTCCACTCCCACGACACCCCCCTAGCGCCACTCCCTTGGCTCCCACACACCCACCCCCCTCAGCGGCAGCTGCAGCAGTGGGAGACGGAGGAGGAGGAGGAGCAGGGGACGGCTCACACACCCGCCACCCCCATACCCGCAGCGCAGGCGGCGCGCTCGCGGCGGGGGGCAGAAACGCGGGCAGCAGCTGGGGCGGCGTGCGAGCAGAAACGGGGCGGCGTGCAGGTCCCTGGGGCGCTGCGACGGGCGACGGGCAGGGCGGCGCGCGGGCCCTCAGGGCGCCGCGACGGGCGACGGGAGGGGGGGGGGCGACGCGCGGGCCCCCAGGGCACCGCGACGGGCGACGGGTAGGGCGGCGCGCGGGCCCCCGTGGTGCTGCGACGGGCGACGGGAGGGGGGCGACGCGCGGGCCCCGGGATGCCGCGACGGGCGACGGGAGGGGAGAGTTCGCAGGCCCCCGGGGCGCCGCGACAGGCGACAAAACCGCCGCGCGCGCCCGGGGCGCGCGCGGGCATGAAACTGTCAGAATATGTTGTATTTGTCTAGCCTGCAGTGGGGTACTCTATAGCGAGTACAGCCCAATCTAGGGTTTCCTATATGTACTCAACTGCTTGCTAGTGCAACTCCTCCTTTCTTCATTCTTACTTTCTACTACTACTTCTGACATGGTATCAGAGGGCGGCATGTCTGCCGCCTTCCTGTGTATGGGCCCACCACCCGCTTCCGCTGCCGTACTGTCCGCCGCGCGCCCCGTGGTGCGCGGCGGCGAAACCCTAATTTCTGCCCGCCGCGCGCTCGGGGCGCCTGGCGGTTTTCCCTTCCGTGGCGCCCGTCGTGGTGCCCTTGGGGGGGCCTCCGCGGTCCCCTCCCGTCGAAGCGCCCGTCAAGGCGCTCTCGGGGACCCGCGCGGCCTCCCCTCCCGTCGCCCGTCGAGGCGACCTCGGGGACCCGCGCGGCCTCCCCTCCCGTCGCCCGTCGAGGCGACCTTGGGGGCCCGCGCGGCCTCCCCACCAGTCGCCCGTCGTGGCGACCACGGGGGCCGCGCGCAGTCCCCTCCCGTCGCCCGTCGAGGCGACTTCGGGGGCCGTGCGCGGCCCTCCCCGTCGCCCGTCGAGGCGACTTCGGGGGGCCCGCGCGGCGCCCTCCCCGTCGCCCGTCGAGGCGACTTCGGGGGGCCCGCGCGGCACCCTCCCCGTCGCCCGTCGAGGCGGCTCTGGGGGCTCGTCGCGGCGCCCTCCTTGGTGCCCGTCGCGGCGCCCCGGGGGGGGGCCGCGCGGCTCCCTTCTCGTCGCCCCTCGGGGCGCCCTGGGGGCCGTGCGTTTCCCCCCCCCCCCCCCCTTCTGCCTTTCAACTGCGGCGGCCGCCCTGGAGCCGCCCGCCACTGCAGCAGCAGCCCCTGGAGCCGCCCGCCACTGCAGCAGCAGCCCCTGGAGCAGCCCGCACCTGCAGCAGCCGCCCCTGGAGCAGCCCGCACCTGCAGCAGCCGCCCCTGGAGCAGCCCGCACCTGCAGCAGCCGCCCGAGGACCCGCGCGAGCCGCCTCTGCAGAAGCCCGCCCCGTCCCCCCCCCCCCCCCCCCCCCCCCCCCCCCCCCCCCGTGCTGCCCATTGCTCCCATTCCACCGTGCGTTCCGCGGTGGCTGGGGTGTGGGGTGGCGAGCATGGGGGTGAGAGGTGTGGGTTCTCCCCTCCTCCTTTTTCGTCTCCCACTGCTGCAGCTGCCGCTGAGGGGGGTGGAGGTGTGGGAGTCGTGGGGAGTGGCACTAGGGGGGTGATGTGGGAGTGGAGCTAGGGGTGAAGCAGGGGGTGTGTGAGAGGGGTGTGGGACTGTTGGGGGAGGTTGAGTGGAGGCTGCTGTCTTGTCGTCCGCAGCACCTGTAGTCCGGGGCGCACTGTCCTGGTAGCTCAGAGAGCCTGCTGCACCTGTTGCCCGTGGGTCCGTTGCTCCTGCCGCTCGTCGCAGCCGCAGAGCCTGTTACTCCTGTATTCCGGGACGCACTGTCTCGGTAGCCACTGAGAGCCTGCTGCACCAGTCGCCCGTGGGTCCGTTGCTTCTGCCGCTCGTCGTAGCCGCAGAGCCAGTTACTCCAGTATTCCGGGGCGCTCTGTCTCGGTAGCCACTGTGTCAGCCGCCACTGTGTCAGCCGCTTCTGTTGCCCGTGTGTCTGCAGCTTCAGTCGTCGCCTCCCATCTTCTCTCCTTTCATAGTCCCTCCTCCTCCTCACTTGCCCTCTGTGATAGCCTCTAGCTTTGCTGATAATTATGAACTATTGCTATGACTGCTCATTGTGCTGATTACACCCCACTTTGGCTATGGGGGTGTGTCAGAATATGTTGTTTGTGTAGCCTGCAGTGGGGTACTCTATAGTGAGTACAGCCCCTTAGGGTTTGCTATTTGTATCCTGCTGCTTGCTAGTTCAATCATTCCTTCTCAATTCTGTTCCTGCACACAATCCTAGCTCGTACTTGGCTCCTCGTTACTAGTCCTACTGTGGCCTAGGCTACTAAGCCTAGGCCGTACTCCTACTACTTCTGATAGAAACCGCTACGCGCCCCGAGCGCGTGGCGGGCAGAAAACCGCCGCGCGCCCCGAGCGCGCGGCGGGAAGAAAAAACGCCACGCGCGCCGGGCGCGCGGCAGGCAGAGAACGTCGCGCGTCCGGGGTGCGCGACAGGCAGGACAGCAGCGGAAGCAGCAGGGTGGGCCCATCCACAGGATCGACCCGCGAGGGTCGACCTACTCTGATTGCATGTCAAGATAGGTAGCAAGGAATGAACGGCAGAAAAGGGATTGCACTAGCAGCAGATAGTATACATATAGCGAACCCTAATTTGGGCTGTTCTCACTATAGAGCACCCCACTGCACACTAGACAATTATAGCATTCTGACATTATACCCACTCAATCATCTTACATTCATGCTGACTAGGAGTCAAATACTTATTCTATATTAACTTTACGCGAAAAATAACTGAGGCTGATCTTGGCAAGGTCCCCCGTAAGATTGTAACAGAAATAAATCATAAAAAACTCGTTGCAATGTGTTCTGGTTGAAGCTTGAGAAACACCATCCAGAAATAATTCATATTTTTTTAACCGAATGTAAGATAAATTTTAATCACTTTTGTTCTGGAAGTGTACAAATAATATGTTCAAATATTAGAAGTAATTCAAAGTAATGTTATTTCACGCGTAAATTTTTAGTATGTCGGTAAATGTGGAATGCAAAACTTGGCGTGGAGTGTGAGGACTCGTAAAAAAGATGAGCGGAATCAGGGTCATCTCAGACGAAAGTTTCTTCTAGTTTCCATTCGCGTGATCGTTCACCATTGAGTTACCAAATGGGTGAAGCTAGGTACTAAACGCGTGAGAATACAATGAAATGGTTCTCGTACGGGTTTTCCAGTCGCATTTTGTTGCCGCTCGTATAATTTCCTTCGGCATTCACGACGCGTCACCTCTTTCCAAGTTGGCAGGATCGAGGCATGATAGGTGCTGGACACCGAACCTGCCAGATCGGTGTGCACTTCGTTGTGCCCAGCTGCAATTTTTCGTTGCGGGGCTCTAGTGAGACACTATGGCAAGATCGAAACCTCATGGGGTACAATATGCACGATCGCCACAATTTCACGATCGATCGCCGGCTTCCTGCACATCGATCTCGTGAGCCCGAGGTGAAACAATTTGGTAACCGATTTACTGTGCATTCTCGAATATTCTCGAAACATGGAAACCTTGCAATCGCCAGCCAACTCGCGAAAGCACTACATCTGACACACCGATAGTATGCACGACCGATCGCCCTCCTGAAAGAAGAGGTGACGCGTCCTCAGGTTTCGTGGTGAACAAGATATACTGTGCTTGAAAGTTAAAGCCCAAGACCTGAATTGCTCAACGCAAGTCAATGCGGGGCAAAACTGTGGGCTGCGGGAGGCAAACTGTGTGCCCTCGTTTTTTGTAATTCGGGTCTTGGGCTTTAACATTCACGGCGAATGCTTTGTTTCCACTCCCAGGCAAAAAACAACGTGAAGTTCACGGTGTCCTAGCTAGTAGGTCTTCCGCGCTGGACGTCAGTTTTACTGGACTTGGAAGTTAAAGCCCAAGACCTGAATTACTCAACGGAAGTCAACTCTAAAAACTAGGTACGGGAGGCAGGCACGGAGAGGTTCGGTTGGGTTGCGAGAGACTTTCACTCGCGAAACCAATTTGCGACAAAAGGTTCTCGCTTCCCATGATGGTTGGTGTCCTTCCCACAACCAGAAAAGCGCGAGCATATCAAACTGTGCACAGTTTGAGATAGCACGCAGAGTATTAGGCATAGACCATACCTGGAGACAGGGCAGGGCGTCGGCGTTCACTCAAAAGGGATCAGATGCGCCATACGATTTGGGTGGCGCGGATTTCAATGATGATGCGCAAAGCTAGTTTTCGCTGGGTGAAGATGATTGTGTCGAAATGCAGGTTATTGTGCAACTACTCCGTAGCGTAAACTCGGGGCGAAAATCGAATCGCAACCGTTCGCCCAAACGTGACCCTCCCCTCGCCCTCGCTTTCCTTTCCCACGCTTCCGCTCTCTTTCGCCCGCGTCGTCGCCATCGCTTCCGCAGCTCGTCGCGTGCCCGTCGCCTTCGCTCCGCCCGTCGCCTTCACTTCCCCCCCGTCGCCTTCACTTCCCCCCCTCCCCCCCCTCTTCCGTTGCCTTCATTTCCCCCTCCCGTCGCCTTCACTTCCCCCTCTCGTCGCCTTCACTTCCCCCTCCCGTCGCCTTCATTTCCCCCTCCCGTCGCCTTCATTTCCCCTTCCCGTCGCCTTCATTTCCCCCTCCCGTCGCCTTCACTTCCCCCTCTCGTCGCCTTCACTTCCCCTCCCGTCGCCTTCATTTCCCCTTCCCGTCGCCTTCATTTCCCCCTCCCGTCGCCTTCACTTCCCCCTCCCGTCGCCTTCACTTCTCCCCCCCGATGCCTTCGATTCCCCCTCCCGTCGCCTTCCACGCCTGCCGCACTCGCTTTCCCCCCGTCACACTCGCTTCCCCACCCGTCACCTTCACTTCCCCTCCCATTGCCTTTCACACTCTCCTGCTCACTCCCCTGCTCACTCTCTTCCCCCCTGCTCACTCGCTTCCCCCCTCCTCAATCTCTTTCCCCCTGCCCACTCTCTTCCCCCCTCCTCAATCTCTTTCCCCCTGCTCACTCTCTTCCCCCCTGCTCACTCGCCTCCCCCCTCCTCATTCTCTTTCCCTCTGCTCACTCCCCTTGTTCTAACCCCACTTTCCCCATTTCTCACCCATTTTCTCCCTTCACGCTCTCTTACCCCCTCTGCTCGCCCCTGTTTTCCCGACTCACTCCTATACTCACTCTCTCCCCCCCTGCTCACTCTCTTCCCCCCCTGCTCACTCTCTTTCCCCTTGCTCACTCTCTTTCCCCCTTCACACTCTCTTTCCCTCCCTTCCGCCCGTTGCCCCCCTTCGTCACGCGCTCGTCCCCTCGCAATCCCCGTCTCTCTCTCCCCCCGTCGCCCTCGTTTTCCCCGTCGCCCTCCCTTCCACTCCTCGTTGCCCTCGCCATCCCTCCCTTCTCCCTTCCCATCTCTCACACTTGTCACACCCCCTTTCCAACCCGCACATACACCCTTCCCTTCTTCCCTGTTTCCCCGTATCCCCTGCGCTGCTTCCCCCCATCCTCCGACTTGCTCCCCCCATCCCCTTCCCTGCTTCCCCCCGTCCCCTCCCCTGCCTCTGCCCATCCCCTTCCCTGCTTCCCCCCATCCCCTTCCCTGATCCCCCCCATCCCCTTCCCTGCTTTCCCCCTTCCCCTTCCCTGCTTCCCCCCGTCCCCTTCCCTCCTTCCCCCGTCCCCCTCCCAGCATCCCCCCATCCGCTTCCCTGCTCCCCCCCATCCCCTTCCCTGCTCCCCCCCATCCCCTTCCCTGCTCCCCCCCATCCCCTTCCCTGCTTTCCCCCTTCCCCTTCCCTGCTTCCCCCCGTCCCCTTCCCTCCTTCCCCCGTCCCCCTCCCAGCATCCCCCCATCCGCTTCCCTGCTCCCCCCCATCCCCTTCCCTGCTTACCCCCATCTCCTTCCCTGCTTCCCCCTATCGCCTTCCCTGCTCACCCTTGCTCCCTCTGTTTCACCCTTGCTCCCTCTGTTTCACCCTTGCTCCCTCTGTTTCACCCTTGCTCCCTCCCCTTCTTCTCTGCTCACTCTCTTACCCCTTGCTCACTCTCTTTACTTCTGCTCACTCTGTTCCCCCCTGCTTCCTCTCTTCCCCTCTGTTCAATCTGTCCCCCGCTGCTTCTTCTTTTTCCCTCTGCTCATTCCGTTTACTGTCTTTCCCCCTTCACTCACCCCCATACCCCCCAATGCAGTTACAGGTGCCCAGCACCAGATGTGGCTTTACCACGGCCTGGTTTATTGCTTGCAGTGTAGCAGACAAAACCGGGAAGCAACATTACACATACACCCCCTAGCTTTGTTCCCTTCTCGAGTCTGGTGATTCCCCTTACTTTTCAGATACGGTAATATATTTATTGCTGAACTCCTTGGTATTGGTCATGTGTATGACTGCTCTGAGGCTCATAATCCTGTATTATAAAAAAATATCCAATACATGGCATGGCTATACGTCATGTTACTATCAGACAGCCAGCACATGCACAACCAGATGCAGAGCAGACCTGTCCAAACACAAACCAAGAAGTCAGATTTGACGTGGCTGAAGTATAAGGGAAGCAAGCATGCAAAAGAAAGACAACTGGCAAATGAGGAAGGGAGGAACGGAGGAAGGGACGAAGTGAGGAATGCAGGAATGAAGGAAGGGAGGAAGTGATGATGGGAGGAAGGGAGGTAGGGAGGACGCTTGGGGGAGAAGCAGAAGGGAGGGGAGGAAGAGAGGCTGGGGAGGAGGGTGGGGAGGAGAGAGGGTGGCAGGGAGGTAACGAGGATGGAGGATGGGAGGAACAGATGGAGGTGAGGTACGGCAGATGGGAGACATGGAGGAACGGGGTGGGGAGAGGAGGGAATGAGAAAACGATGGGTTTGGTAGAGGAGGGATCGCGAGAGGAGGGATAGGGGGAGGAGTTGGGGATAGGATGGACGGGGAGGAGGGGATGGGTATAGAAAGGGATGGATAGCGGAGGTGGTGAAGAACGAACCTTTTGGCGAGGCGGAAGATGGGAAGAAGCACGGAGGAGAGGGGACGGGGTGGAGGTGACGGGGAGGTCGCGGGATGGGGTATGACCGTATGGTGGAATGGTGAAAGTTGGCAGAGGGAATGATGGGATCGGGAAAGGAGGGATGGGGAAACGAGGAAAAGGGGATGAGAAGTAGGATGGCATGGCGGAATGGGGTGGGGCAGAAAGGGGTGGGGCGGAATGGGGTGGGGCAGAAAGGGGTGGGGCGGAATGGAGTGGGGCAGAAAGGGGTGGGGCGGAATGGGGTGGGGCGGAATGGGGTGAGGCGGATTGGGGAGATGAGGGATGGGGAGATGAGGGATGAGGAGATGAGGGATGGGGAGGTGTGGGATGGAGAGGAGAGGGCTGGGGAGGAGAGGGATGGGGAGGTGAGGGATGAGGAGATGAGGGATGGGGAGATGAGGGAAGGAGAGATGAGGAATGGGGAGATGAGGGAAGGGGAGATGAGGAATGGGGAGATGAGGGAAGGGGAAATGAGGAATGGGGAGATGAGGGAAGGGGAGATGAGGAATGGGGAGATGAGGGAAGGGGAGATGAGGAATGGGGAGATGAGGGAAGGGGAGATGAGGAATGGGGAGATGAGGGAAGGGGAGATGAGGAATGGGGAGATGAGGGAAGGGGAAATGAACGTGTATGTGACGGAAGGGTGCTGCTGACCACGCACCCTCCCACACCCCACGCGATGGGACGGGATGAGAGGGTGGGCGGCATGGGTAGAGAAGCGATGGTGAAGAGGGGGAACGTGATGGGCAGGGGAGTGATGACGACGTGGAGAGAGGAGGAGAGAAGGGAGGTCGGCGGGAAGGCTAAGCGAGGACGATGGGAGGCCAAGCGTGGGCGACAGTGGCGGTGGGCGACGGTGGCGTGGGCGACGGTGGGGAGAAGCGTGGGCGACGGTGGGGGGAAGCGTGGGCGACGGTGGGGGGAAGCGTGGGCGACGGTGGGGGGAAGCGTGGGCGACGGTGGGGGGAAGCGTGGGCGACGGTGGGGGGAAGCGTGGGCGACGGTGGGGGGAAGCGTGGGCGACGGTGGGGGGAAGCGTGGGCGACGGTGGGGGGAAGCGTGGGCGACGGTGGGGGGAAGCGTGGGCGACGGTGGGGAAAGCGTGGGTGACGGTGCTCCGAAGCGTGGGCGACGGTGGGAGGAATCGTGGGCGATGAGAGGGGAAACGTGAGGGAAGGTGGGGAAAGGCGTGAGCGACGGTGTGGGGGAAGGCAGGAGGAAGCGTGAGCGGCGAGTAAGGGGAAGCGTGAGCGACGGTGGGGGAAAGCTTGGGCGACGGTGGGAAGAGTGGGCGTGTGCGTGGGGAGGTGTGTGAGAGACGGTGGGGAGAAGCGTGGGGGACGCGGAAGGCGATAGGTCCAAATGCGATGTTTGGGAAAGGGCTAGGAATAAAGGTGAAAATGCTCATGGCCTATGCTTTAGTGGCGTTTTATTCTATCTCTTCGCATGCTCTAATCGCTTCGCGTACTATGGAAATCACACGACCTGAATTACCGAAGAAGGCAAACTGTGCACATTTTGAGCCCTTGTTCCTTCAGGAGGGTGTGGTTGGGACTCTCGCCAACCAAACCCGTTCTGCTCTACGACTCCGTGTTTCTTGGCGCAATGTTTTCTGGTAACCAGCCTGGCTCGGGAGGTCAACTGTGGGTTCGGTAGGCAAACTGTGCACAGTTTGCCTTCCTTTTTTTGTAATTCAGGTCTTGGGCTTTAAGGGGGGAGGAGAGGGAGGTTAAGGGGGTGGAGAGAAAGAGAGAGAGAGAGATTAGGCCCCTCGATTCCGTCGTCGTCGCTCTCACCGGGCATCCACTGCGGGGGTCAAACCGCAGGCGGGTATCCTACCGAAGGGCCCAGCTGCTGCACGATGATTGATCCGCTCCCTACACCAACAGGTCTGCATGCAATTAAGGGGGGATGTTAGAATATGGTGTATTCTTATATAATTGCATGTTTTAGCTAGTAGTGTAGGGTCTTGGTGGTATACCCCCCTTTGTCCACCTTTCCTACCTATTTCTTGTAACTCTCTCATATTGTAAACCCCTCTTTTGTTTGGCCAACACCTCTCCTTCCTAGCTCCTAGGGTTTCCATGTCTCCTAAGTTCTAACTACCTCTCTTGATAGTATCGATAACCTTTGTATACATGCAACGCTTGGATACAACCAGCAAGGATGTTTCAACAGTCGTTAAACGATGGTCAATCAATCCAACACCTCTCAAGCACTGTGGGAAGCGATGATCTGGCATGCAAGTACCGTACAACGAAAGACAGGGTCTGTGTGGGAGCCTTCAGTTCAGTGAAGCATCAGCCTCATTCTGGCGGATCTAACATATGGGAGGTAGTCAATCCACCACCACTCTGTCACCCTTCCCACGTCGATCAGCAACGGCTCTTTCAGCTTGGGCAGCCAACGGAGTGACCCGGGCAGAGAGTGCAGCTTCGGCAAATAGCACAGCTCCAGCGTTTCAAGGTTTTTCAGCTGCCCGGGTGACTCGGGCAGCACAGATAAGGTTTTCAAGCTTTCGAGCTTCAAGAAGCTGAGGTTTTCCAGGAGTCCGAGGGATTCTGGCAGGTTGGAGAGGCTGTGCATGTGGGTGAGGGTGAGAGAAGAGAGGGCAGAGAGCGTGGAGAAGGAATCGGGGAGAGAGGTTATCTCCAAGCAACTAGACAGTGTTAGGCTGGTGAGGGACGCCAGGCCCCAGGGCTGCTGTGCGTTACGCTGCTCCTTGCTGTGGCTGTGGCTGTGGCTGTGGCTCGGTGTTATCGGTCTGCGTGCAAGCAGTGGTGGGGCCAGCAGCAGCGTCTGTAGGGGCGACAGTGGCAGAAGTAGGAGCAGGGTCAAGAGGAGGGCGAGGCGCAAGGTCAGGAGAAGGGGCAGGATCAACGGAGAAAGCAGAAGCAAGGGAGCAGGTAACGGCTAATGCGGGAAACGGAGCAAACAGAGGCTCTAGGTACTCGAGGCGAGGGCAGCCGGTGATTTGGAGCTCTTGCAGGCACGTCAGCATGGCCAGCTGGGGAGGCAGCTGCCTCAGTTCCCTGCAGCCGCGCAGGTAAAGCTTCTCCAGGCTGTGCCTCACACTCCCCGTGCACAGGCTTTCAGGCAGCTGCAGCAGACCCACCTGCTCGATTCTCAACGACCTCAATCGGTGTAAATTGCCCACACTCTCGGGCAGAGCACAGAGGTTGGGCAGCCTTTCAAGCACTAGGGTTTCAAGCTCTACGAGGGCTCCGAGATTATGGGGAAGAGAGGTGAGTGCAGCGCATGATTGGATGGAGAGGGAGGAGAGGGGGAGGGAGCAGATGGTGTCCAGCAGGCTCTGGATGGACACCCAGCGAAGTAAGAACTTCTCCAATCGCGTCATCGCCCCCATCACATGCTCTGGCAAGCGCGCCAAACACTTGGACTGCAGCGAGAAGGAACGTAGGCTGGTGAGATGCTGAAAGGAATACGGGATGAACTGCACACCCATCACAATGTCTAGGGTTTGCAAATGTGGTAAGTACCAATCGAACTGGGGAGGTTCGCGAGGCTGCTGGTGGAATCCGGGAGACCTTCTAACGGCGATGGGCCTGTATTTAAGCGGATTTCCCGTAGCTGCTGGAGCGCGCTGATGCTTTCGGTTGGCAAAAGAAGATTCTCAAAACGATCGTCGTCGACAAGGCGCCGGAGATGGAGGGTTGTGAGGTCGGAGAGGAGAGAAACCGCGGGCGGGAGGTGCGTGAGGCAGTTGAGGGTGAGCAGGCGGAGTCGCGGAGCTTGCGACAGCCATGGAAAAGAGACGAGAGGCCGCTGCAAGTGATGTGCATGAGAGCCTGGTAGTGTACGGTCAGATGTGTCAAGCGCGGACACGTGGCGCTCACGCATTGGAAGGGAGAATCGCCGTTTGGATTCGGAACGCGCCAATAAACGCGACAATACCGAATCTCGAGGTGCGTGAGCGAGGAGAAGCTGCGAATCTTGTCTTGGAGAACGGAGAATTGGATTTTGAATTTGGTCGTGAGGTGCGTGAGCGAGAGGCGCGCTACGGCGTACCATCGCTTTGAGACAAGCGCGTAATGGAAGGAGTTGCGCGTTAGCGAGCGCAGCACGAGGGAGAGAAGGTGATCGTCAGATAGGACCTCCGCGATCGACGAGGAAGGAGGGGAAGGGGTCCAGAAGGTGGGGAAGAGAGAAACGGCACGGTAAGGTTCATAGTGTCAGTAGAGCATGAAAACGACAAATAATATTACATGGGAG